ATAAAAGTACTGTCCCAGCGATCGAGTCGTCTTCTTCTCAATTACTTCCTGGAATTCGCATGTTCGCTTGTGTTGGTAAATTACAACTGATTGGTTAAGAAATACACCTATCTGCTGATGCCTACGAAGAGGAGTTCGAGCTGAAATCCGAAACGTCAGATGGAGAGAGTTTTTATGGCAGCGATCGCGCAACCTTCCTCTAGAAACATAAACTGCCAGAAGATACCAGTCAGGCTTTTCGGGTTCATGCTTTTTGTAAATGCGCAGGAATAGGCTTCCGCGCAGAGGCTTCCACCGGGAGCCGTGAGCTTAATCGCATAGTGGTCGAGTTACCCGTTCAGCCTACTACAATTTATGGGATCCACCAATTCGGATGCAGTAAGCTGACGGGTCAACCCTCGCAGCTCGGTTGGCTAGAGTGTTGGCTATACTAAAGCCTTTCTCTTGCAAACGTGGGTTCAAATCCAACTGAGGCTGTTGATTGTTCTGCAAGTCAGTCGAGCGAACTACTTTCGAATGCTATTAACAAAGAGAAATGGATTTGACCCACGGATACTCATAGTGCAAAGTCCTTTGAACAACATTCCAATAGGCTAAGTGCACTTGATTTTTGATCTGATGCTGTCAGTTGAACGGGCTGACCACCGAGGAGCATCCAGTCGTTCGACTGCGGCAGGGCAACGAAAATGAAAGCTGTTCACCAATAGTCAGTCTAAACAAGGAAAGTTTGGTGATAATGATGAAGAAGCCTACGATATAATGTGTATCGCAGGGGGTTAAGTAAGTTAAACCCTAGCATCTGCGATCTTCAGACCATAGTTACTTAGTGGAGAAGTTGGCGGAGGCCAGAATAGTAGGAACAGTATATTGTGTACACAGACGTACAAAAAATAGAAGGAAAGAGATGGACTACGGAGAGCAGGACCTTCCGCTAGAGCGGCGTGATCCTATGTGATGACTGGCGTCCGAGAGTGGGAAAAAGGAGAAATTGTTGAGTGGTGCTTGGGCAGCCGCGAGAACCTGGACGCACTAGTGTGTGTCCGAGGGCAATTAGGTCAAGTCTCTGCAGGTCAGGGCGTCTGTAAGCGCTGACTGAGGTATTGAATGACCTTGAGGCAGATAGCCTCGAATACTAACGCCGGACAAAGCAATGGAGGGCGTCGGCCGGCAGCGACCACTAAAAGTGTTCTTTTTTTCAGCAAAATTGGTTAGCCTTACCTAAAACAGTACTTATAGAACGCAATTTCCAGTTAACCACATGCCTACAATTCTGAATAGGCTTCATGTTCATCGTTGGGGCTTGTACTTGCTTTTAGAATGTCCAGTCTTGGATACAAGTAGGCGAGTGGTTGCCTGGCAACTGCTTGCTATAAATGCTGCGGCCCTTCCGCCTTGAGTATTATTTTCTGTGCTCGTCTCTGATGCTGGGTTTGAGTCAGAATCCGAAACTTCAGCTCAGTATACTTTATATTAAGTGATTTTGATTTGTTCTACTGAACTACCTCTTCGAACTCGCCTGTCTGCTTTTATCGGTTAGATCTAGGGTTGAGAGTCGACTTAGGGTTAGGCTTCGGATAGCAGTTAACGTTAGGAATAGGATGAGAACGCGAGAAGAGGTACGCTTTCTGGAATCTGCATTTCTGGTGGTTTACAATTCCCGTTGAGCACCCATTAGCGAGGCAGAGATATTTTTCGTACGTGGATATAAACTATACACAAGTTCAGTCGACGCGTCCCACCGCATCAGTTATTGTCTTTACTTCTGTGTGGTCCTGCATTTGGACAGAAATGAGAAAAAGTGTAAAGTGTCATCATCATCATCATCATCATCATCATCATCATCATCATCATCATCAT